TATTGATTACTTTTTCTCGTCCTCTTGATTCAATCCAATATGAAAGCTTAGAGACTCTAATAAAAGATTTACCAAATATTATTACTACAATAGTAAGAGATATTAATAATTCTATCACACGCCATCTTGGTATTTCACTTGCTGAAGCAATAAAAAAAAAGGTATTATCTCTAAGTCTTCTTATCCTCGAGATAGTCCTGTAGGCTTTGATGAAGAAAAGCTTTCTGGTGATGTACTTGTAAAATATTTACTATATTCTAGTAATCAGAAAGGAGGAAGACGTCATGCTGGTAATTTAAATTGGTCTTTACATATTTATCATATCCGTCAATCTATGGTACAAAAAAAGTGGTACGAAGTGCAATACCTATGAAAAAGACTTACAGGAAGGAACCTCCTACTTCCAAGTCTCGTAAAAAAGCAGAACTCTTAGCATCGCTAACCATGATTGTAGATTATGTTTTCCTAATAGCCTTAAAATCTATATTATTATCAGTTATACAACATATTCCTAAAGAAATTCTTAAGGAAGGCTATCAATATATTAATACAATATACCCTAAATTAAAAGATCAAATTCTAAATACGGCTATGAAGGATGATACTGTCATGAAAAGGAAAAAAGTATGGGAGTATGTTACAAATAAAATTATAGACGTTTTATATCTACTAATCCAAGCCACAAATATAGAGCAAAAACCTCTTATTCAAGTTTCAATAGAATCGAAGTTAGATGATCCCATGAAGGATATAATACCAGTGAGCTCTAATATATTAAACCATGCTATTAAAGCATATGCTCAGTCTCGCTTAGCTGAAAAAAAAGTGACATGCAAAGCACCTTCCGGCTAATTCCTATATACTGGCCTAAGCCATTAGAGATAAATTTTCTCCAGATAAAGGATGCTGATAATGTTGCAACTATCACTTGTAATGTGGGAGATGTAACCATACTCTATGCTATTATTGATAGTGGATCAGATTCATCAATAGTTTCAGAAAATGTCACAAATTATTTGGGACTTAAAATAGGTAGGAAAAAAGTTCACAGGTTTAAGGGGGTTGCTAATAAATCTCAATCCCTTAGGACGGTTAACGATGTTCCTGTAATTATTAGTAATAAAGAGGAAAGACTTACTGCTACAAATGACTTCTCTATCGTTCCTACAGAATATGATAATAATGGAAAAGAATTATCATTATTTATTCTCAGTACTCAATGGCAATATCAAGTAGGTTGGGAATCTTTGGTGAGAGGAGAATTCAGAGCAACCCGAAATGGAAAGACTATCATTATTTTACTATCTGTTCACAAATCCCAACGTATTGTCTTTACTGTAGAGAAGGAGCTACCAAAAGAGAGGCCACATGACTCCTTCACAACTAACGAGGATATTTTAAAAAAAAATACGTAAACTGCATGAACTATGAGGATATGGCAATTCGTATGAAAGAGCTCGAAAAGGCATTATTTTCTAGCATTCAATCAAATTTGGAAATCATAGGATACTATAATAGTTTGCGCAGTCAGATTGAATAGAACGAATAACTATTTGGAAATAAGAGGACGACCAGATGCTTTAATTTCTTTTAAAGTATTATCAGTTCTCTTATACAAATCCAAGACATCTTCAGAGGATTCAGTAGTCGAAATAATTTCTTTTTTTGTTCCAGGTATTGCTTGACTTCCTTAAGATCATTTCTTTCCTCCGGTCTTTTTTGCCTTACTACCTGCACTTTCTTCAGAAACTGAATCAGTAGATTTGCTAATTTCACGATTGCGTATCTTATTTTCTAGCGTTGTAAAGGCAGTATTAATTTTATCTTGAAAATATCTTTCAGCTCGACGCTCCTCATTCTGTTTATCTATAACTTTCATACTTGAAGCAACTGCTAAATCATTCCATTGAATCCTATTAAATTCATATCCTCTCCAAATTTGATATAAGCGATTATTCGATA